GAACATTCCTTTTACGTTTTTTCCTTTCTTTATCTAGACATTGCAGAAATTGCTGTTAAATTCCCGAGTATGTGGTATTCTAAACTTGTGGTTCTTTCACCAATTTACAAACTGATTTCTCACTCTCAGGCACCTAATTATTATAAGTGAAATCTGTGCGGAAGTTGGTTTGGAATAAATATGCATGAAGTTTATGAATAACTCTTTGCATGATTAATCTTCGTTGCTTCAGTTGCGATTTACAATTAGTTGCTTGCTTGCAACATCCTGAATGCCAGAAACGCCGCGATGTGGATCCTGTAGTATTCTTCGGGGATATTTTATTTTTCATCTAAAAACACGACAAGACCATTTGTTTGTGTCTTGTTTGATGTAGTGTACTGCTGGAGGTTTTCTAGTCGCACCAATTCATGCTTCAACATTTATTTCATACTGAAATACTGTCGAGTTTTATGGTCTTGTGAAATTTTGTGAAATGTTAAATCTTTTGCGATATCTTCTTTACGAACTCTCGTTCATCTCTTCGAGACACGAAATCAATTACATCAGAAGGATTCTTCTAATTATATCGGGCGACGGAGCGCGAAATTTCGCAGCGAATTAACTACAATAAAAAATGAAACAATTTTCCGCTCTCTAATTTAGAAGTATAATTCGCTTATAATTGGAAATCTTAGCACGTTTTATGTAAACAGATTGCAAACAACTTTTCCGCACCATTAATTTTAAGCCAAGTTTTTGAAACCATGGGTGAATCCTAGGTTTGGTCTGTCAAATTTATTGCCTGAAATTTCACCCTTGTCGAAGCCAAAACATGGCTAAAAAATTCAATACTTAATGAGGCCGCTTCGTATTCAGCTATTTTCCCGATCGTAATATTCAAGAAATGTTTAAGCCTTAATTTAAGACATTTATCATTCTGTAATAAAACTTTTATAGTCTTTTGAGCCGTTGCTTTAAGGATTCAAGCCAAACCTGGCTTTAATAGTTGGATGGGTATTTAACTTTGCTGAAATTTTCATCAGACATTGTCGCCGCATCAAATATCGCGGGTTACGACCCAATCGTGCGGTTTGTCACAATTTTTCAAACTTTTTATTAGTGACACATTGATTAATAAAGATATAAAAGCGTGGAAGTGGCTCTTCTCTCATCGCTCGTAAAAATGTTATTTTCATTCTCATTTCTAGAATAATTTATTTTTTATTTTGGTATACAGCCGGCATCGTTATTCATTAAAACGCAATATTTTAAGCAGAATTTTATAATTTAGCGGTGTTAAACACTAATTATTTTTGTTATTCGGGAAACGAAATTAATTTCTCGATGAAAGACATTTTTTTAGTTTTGCCGCTTCCAATTAAAGAATTGTAGAGTTGAATTACTGACATTTAAAATTCGATAGAAAATTTAAATTAAACCATGAAGGACAATTATTTTTAATCAAACTGCTTTAATGACAAGCCAAGAGAAGATATTTTTTGTCAACTGATTATGCTACTTATTTACGTTCACACTTTAAAACAAAATTTTTGAAAAAATAAATGTATGGTTCTTACAAAGGTGACAAGTTGTATTTTATGTGCAACCGCTTATTTTATCATTTATATACCTTCATTATAATGTTTATGGTCGTGTTTGATTAAAAGGAAGAGTTTCTTCTATTTCTAAAAGCAGTTTTTTTTTTCTTTATTTAATTTGTTGGACGAAACTTTGAAAACGAAGTCTACGTTGCATTTTTTTTAAATTTTGAATTAAAATAATGAATACAAATTGAATTTTATTTATTTTAAGGGAGTTGCACTTGTAAATAAATTATGTATGATTTAGATTATATTCTAGTGTAATCAAGTAAGAAATTTTTGTTAAAGATAATTAATAATGAATTGTTGTTTTTATTTCCTAACACATGTATGATCACATTTTTTAAATTATTTTTCCTACGGTCCTAAGAAACTAAGTTTTTCAGAAAGAAAAAAAAATGCTGCTAGAGTTAATGGGGAAACTGGGCTAACAAGAGAAATTGTTAGTTTTGAAATTTTTGTTTCTGGATCATGGAAAAATTTTCAATCTTAAATTTTAAATAAAGGTATTGAGTTAGCAATCAATTTTTTACTAAAAAAGTTTTATTTGTATGTATTTCACTGGAGGAAAGTGTCTTTTTCTCGAGCAGTAACTTCCACCTATGGGAGGAAAAGATACACTTTTCTCTCTTGTAACATAAGTAACTTAAATATTGTTTGTGTCCAACTTGTTCATCATAGGATGTATTCATATTTTACTTCTTTTTTGAATCAGCTGTCGTTTAATTAAATTAAATTTTCATGAGCTACTTTTGATTTTTTCTCTTGAGATTGAAAGTTTTGTACATTTGAATTTCTTTCTTTCACTTCCCCGTCGTCGATGGCTTGTTATTGTACCCGTGACGCAAATATAAGACATAATAAATGTTGACATAAATCCAAGCGAAATGTGTATGTGCTGTCGAATAATATTGCATCGGAAATATGGGAGATTTATGCATATCTAATAAAAAGAAATCTTTTGGACGCCATATTTGCGAGAAATATCGTGGGCTTAGTATGTGTCTGTTTTAATACATTATTCACACGAAGATACATGATGGTTCAAATTTTGTATTTTTTATAATAATAGCAAAACCAACGAAGTCAAATGAATTATTATTATTAGGTATTTACCACAAAGCCAGTTATTTTAGTCACCCTGTAAAATTTAAAGCTCCGTATAAATCGCCAGTTATTAACCGCCGCAACTTGGGCAATAAAGTCGCAGCTCATAAAGCATCACACATCAGATTTAAACCGAACCTTTTACTTTATTACATCCTCATACGAGGCGGTGTTAAACGGCTCCGATTCTGCGAATTCTGCGACTTGTGACAAATGCCTCCAGCTCCAGATTGTGGCCTTTTTTCACTGTATATTTGAAGAGCTCTGTTTTCCAACACCTGTGGCGTTTAATAATTGAGCGACTTGCGGGAAAAGTTTATTGACAATACCACTTAACGCTTCCACTTTATTCATCATCTCCAAATGAAATTTTCACAACGTACCGTAGCTAATTCCGTGAAAATTCGTGAGTAAATCGCGCGGAAACTTGGCTCCGGTTTTGTTAGTCGAGTGTTGTCAAACGTTAAAGTAACAGAGACGTCTCAGTTCCGGCGATTCCGGTCTGTTGTGCACTTGAAAAGGGGCCGCTGCACCTTCCGGTCGGCTTTTTCAAAATGCCAGACGGGAGATGGAAATTTTTCAAAAAAAGAGGTTATTAAAGGGACAATCATTTTAGAAGATGTACTTTATGGAGTGAAAGTTAATTTGCGAGACTGCAGTACGATTGTCTTGGGGGAAATGGAGAAGATGAGGCGGTTAGATTTTGAGATAATTCTTTTTGCGCTAATATAGGGGCGATGTAATTAGCTGAGTCCCGCAGGAGTGACGAAATGCACCAGAGATGGCTTTAAAAGCGTTGCGTTCGACTTAAAGCGGGGTTTTCTTTTTACTCGGCGATGTGGAAGGCTGCTAAAGTGATGTTGATGGAAGATGAGCTACTTTTTTTTTTTCAAAGTATTGCAATAATTTGAGCTATTTTAACACAAGAGAAGCTTAAATGCTTTCTTTGCTGACTAAAGTTGTTTTTCTCGTTCGTTCACACTTTGATAAGCGCTTATATGGAACTAATTTTGAAACAATTTCTCGGTGTTGCATCATAAGATAATTATGGAATTAATTAAACGAGTAATGAATTAGCACTTATTTGACGCTTATTTATTTTAAGGGTAATGTTGCTATTGAAAAAAAATTGAAGTAACAAAAATAAAAAGTTTCCAAAATTTTATTCTTCAAAATTTTTGTAGCAATTATTTTTATGGAATCAAATAGACCTAAAACACGCATATAATTTTTACTCAGTCTGTTCTAATCACAATATGAGACGAATTCTAACAAGTGGAATATAATACCAGTTTTTAAATTGAAATGGAACAATACGTATTTTAAATTTATCATATAAAAACCAATATTTTTATTAGTGGGTATTAATGCGAGTATGATTCTAATAGCTGTAAGCTTTATGGACGCTAATTTCACAATTGTACATCAAAGCCTGAATAATATTTTACTCGATTTCTGCAGAATATTAAAAATGACATTAGTTTTGTCGATTTTATTTTATGAAATATATAAATCGCTTTTATAACGTCATTTTTTTTTATTTTTTATATTTTATACCAGGTACTATCTAACTTTGTTCAAGAGACTTCCATAATCCCATTTTGCAGAGCCAAACAGCCCTGAAATGGTAATTTAAATTCAGCAGAAGTAAAAAGAACGTGTACTGGAATTTATCCAGATATGTTGGTATGCAGCACTGTGTAAAGAATTCGAATATTAATACATTCCATACTGGATAATATCTTTGTCAAATTAATATGACAATTAGTCTGACCTTAAAATATTGAGCTAATTTAACTAATTTGTCATAATTTAAAGAGTAGAATTAAAATAATTAACTAATTTAGAAGTTTGGAGTAATGTGATGAGAGACAAGAACGCAGGAACCGGATTCTGTTCATCTTTATTTTATTTAAATGTAAATTTTCGCCTTTCAGTCGCTTTCACAAGAGTCGGATTTGTGAGTAAATTTTTGTTTACATTTCCATTAGAATAAATATTTTGTGAACAACTGAAATGTATTTTTTTATCTCACATTGAGTTTATTGTAAAAATATTTTGTTGGTATTTCAAGACATAAAAAGTCGAAATGAAACACTAAAAATACTGGCGCTCTCAATCAAGCCGAAAGTTAGTCTTTGGGATCCTCCCCAAGTTGGGGATTTGTCCAGAGTGTTTTTTGTCCGAAAGCAAAGTTTGTATATTGCCGGGAATACAAATGAAACCTCCATCGGTTAGTTTGTGAGTTAGTCTGTATTGTTGTCGAGTTTTATAAGGCTCGTAAAATATGAAAGAGCCAGCTTGACTTACCTTCGGAGCTGTCTGTTGGCGAGTATAACTCCCATGAGCGCTATATTGGCGGCCATTCCCATCGTTCCTAAGGCGAATATCAACGCAGCTTCTGCGGTCCCTCCAGGATGACATTGGAAAACCTTGGTGGCATTGAGACTTGCATTGGCAACTGAACTTCCGAAGCGCAGGTTGGCACCTATCATCGCCACCGCAGAACCTGTCACGGAATTTCGGTTTAACGCAGTTCAGCTACATCAACAGCCCGACCGCAAACCCCATGAATCACTTCACGTTTCAAGAACAGAAGCGAAATGCGACAGTGGAATGTGAATTTTAAAACAGGCCTGATGTGGCCCTTTGTTATGACGGAATTATGAATGTGTGTTTCCTACAACTGCTAAAAAAATTTAATGTGAGCGGAAAAGACCACATTACACATAGAAGAACGTGTTGTCAAATTCGCTCTATTTGTGATTTTACTGTGATTTCGGAGTTTGTTTTTAATACTTCGAGAAATTCTGTTTTTCACACTTTACCCAGTTTTATAATCAATATTACGATTATTAAGACGGAACAAGAAATGTACACATAAATACATAGTTTTTAGCTCATTTTGAAACTGGAGGAAAATTAGTATACAGTTTTTAAAAATTAGTTGAGGACTATAACTTCTAAAAAGGAATGTCTGTTTTTTTAAGTTTTGGAAAATAAACAAAAAGAAATGATTGTTTTATGTCTTAAGGAGGTAATTCGTGCTTAGAAAGTGTAGTATATTTCATACAAAATTTTTCTAATTTTTTTTTTACTTGATGACAAGTTTCCACAAGTTAAAATGTTAAAAGCAATCAAAATCGAAGTCTTTTATAGTTTATACTTATTTTTGGCAACTTTAAAGTTTAAATATTTCGGATTTTTTCTTTTATTTATTTTTATTTAATTTACTATTAATGAAAATTTATATTTGTTTTGATTATTGTTGATCCTTTTCTTAAAAAGTTGTTAAAGTTGAGTATAGAAACCTAAAGGAAGTAACAAAAGATCGTAATTTTGTTGGAAAATTGGTTATGTGCGGAAATTTTTTCTATTGTTCCAAAAGATAAATTTTGTAGCCCGGCGCATCCACCATTTATAGTCCACTTGTTTATCCGTTTATTTTTAAGTTTATTACTTCTATTTTAATTAAAATTAAACCAGAAATACTTATTACTTACAGTTCTATTTCAATAATGACACAATATTTTTTTAATAATTGTTTTTAATTTTTTGTTTATTTTTATATTTCAAAAGCTTCAGTCGCGTTTTCGTATTTTTATTCCGTTAATAGGGACTCTATTCTCTTAGCAAAGTGGCTTGCATTCTTTATTTTCATAGTTTTATTAATCCATTTCCGTCGTAATTTGCTCCAAATTTTACTTCCACTCTATTACATGCATTTCTAGTATACTTTTTCGTCGTTGTTGCAAATCTTGGGAATGAAAACAGCTGTGAGGGCTGTGAGTAGAAATTGCATTTTTTAGTTAATAAAATTGATTCGCGTTGTTGAATATTTTTAGAAATTCTGTTTTGAGTTCATATATTTAGTTTTATAATCAATTTTAGAGGACGGAACAAGAAACTTTGTTGAAATCTAAGTATTTTAATATTCACTATGAAACTGGACAGAATGGCATTAAATTTTTGAAAATTAGTTTAGAACTTTGTAATTTATGAGGACGAAAAAGAAAGTTATTTAGAAGGACGTAATCTCAAGAGGCCAACTTTCCTGAAAGAACTGAATGTGATTTCACTGCCAAATAGGTTTTAATTAAAAGAGAAAAAAAAATGATTTACAGGAAAATTACATTGATAAATGATTTATTGGTGTCAAGGCTTTTTCCTTAATTTTGAACTTTGTTTTGATAAGGCAATTCGTAAAGTACAGGCTTTTTACAATTAGCATTTTATAACATACAGTAAGATGTAAAAATAAACCAGTATCAAATACGTTAACAATCAGTGTTTTTTTGCTTACATGTAGTGACTTTCATTGGTTTAAAACGTCTCATTTGTTGCTGTAAAAAATAAATTTATTTGCATAAATATTTAAGAGTATTTTTTTTATTGAAATTGAAGTTTAGCGAAGCTGACAATTTGTACAATTCCTTACCTTAGAAAAGTTACATTTTTATTATTTATTCAGAATTGTTCAATATTAACAAGTTTACAAACTACTGTATGTTAAATATTTTGATTCAGAAGTAATGGGGGTAATGGGACAAATGTAGTTTTCAATAGTTTATTTATATATTTCGAAAGTTTCAGTGATGTTTTTCGTATTTTTACTCTTTAATAAGACTTTTTCTCGTCAAAGTGCTCCAAATCTTCTATTTTATAGTGTTATTAATCAATCCCCAAATTTTTGCTTCTACGCTATTTTCTGCATTCTCCATGTACACTTTTTGTCACAAGTGCTGGAAATTGAGACAGCTGTGAGGGCGGTTTGCGTACAAGTAGAAATCGCATTTTTTGGTCACAGTTTAATAAAATTGATTCGGGTTGTTGGATATTTCTCCGTTTCTGTGTAAACGTCTGTGTTTGATAAGCATCAAATTTCGCCAAGGGTTGTTTCTCGAATACGTGATAAATTCCTAGGAGGAACGATGCGTGTTTTTTCCGTCCGGTCCTTTCAGCAACACTCCTGCGCCCGATAAAATTCTAATCGAATGGGTAATATTCAGACATTTATATACAGTCTGAGCCTTCGGGATAAGGCACTGATTTTGAATTTTTCCTTTCCAACCATTTCAACCACAATATCTGTGATATGACACGATTTTACTTAAGGGAATTTAAATTAGTCCGGGTTTACTTTTAAATTTTCTACTAATCGGAATGAAAGGAAGAACGAAGGTAGCGTCACTGATAAGGCTGGTAATTACTAGGATAAATTTATTCCTGGAAGCTTCCCCTTCGATAGAATTAATCGGTTCTTTTGTTGAAACTTCCTCGCAATAAGGTCGCTATCACGTCCCCGCATTTCACTGTGTTCCACAAATGACACAATTTTTTAATTTCACCGACTTCACTGTCAAAATATCTGCAGCACGAGAATTGTCATTAAAAGCATTCGCATCAAAATTTCAGCAGTAACTTTTAATCCCGCCGTCAAGTTCCTGCATTGCAGGAAGTCTTAAAGAATTAATAATTAACCAGCGATCTTAAAAGGTACTTGCCCTTCGTGTTCACCTTAATTCCCTTGTTCTTGTTCTGTTAATAATACAAAACATGGTTGTAAAGTGGGCTTAGTTATACCATCGATTGAGACAAATTCGTCCTATTTAAATTCCCTGATAAATGTTGAACAATTCCCAAAAGACTCTTGGGATTTAATTCCATGTCCGTGTGATTTGTTTCTGATACTGCCACTGTCCGTCTGATAAAAGCACGCGATCAGAGTAAATTGATGTCCAGTAATTTTCTTTTTCTTGAGAATACAAATAGAGGCTTTTAAGAATTTTTAACGAGGATTATGCATCAAAAAAGATGCGGAGGCACATATAAAGCTTGTTTTGTTGGCGTCTCATTTCAGCTTCCTTAATAACAGAATGAAAATTAGTAAGGAAAAACAACAATGGGAGGCCAATAAGTGCGCTGTTGTGATTCAAATTTTGCGAATTAATGTTCAAAAAAAATTAAATGTGAATTTCAGTTTTAAAAACTTAGCTGTAATTGAATTATTATGCCTGGAAGTTTGTGTTTTATTCAAGAAATAGGCGAAACAAATATTGAATAATGCATGAAATTTTCTTAGTCAGGAGTAATCATTCCAAGCGAGACTGTTTCACAGAATTGGGTTTTGTTCTGCATTCGTATAATATAATTTACAGTTTTATTTCTATTTGGTTTAATAAACTGAATCCATAAAACTTCTAAGATTTAACTATCGGTCAAAAAAAGCAATAAGCATTTCCGTTAAAAAATAAACAAATAAAATAAATTTTTGTTGAATTTAAGGACTTCTTAACACTTCTTTTTTTTTTCTTGATTTGTACATTTATGTTACATTTTCAATTGACTTACTATAAATATTAGCTACAATAATTATTATTTATGATTGTTGAGTCTAAAGATAATTATACCACTACTTACTATACGATTTTTGAAGCAATAAGTTGTAAAAACATCAACGATTGAAAAGAAACTCTTGCTGCATTTGCTTTTTGTCACAAAGATTGTTTTTATTGTAAAATGCATGGTTTGTTTTTGAAATGAAAGATGAATTTTCTTGTCTCGCACATCCACCATTTTTGGTCCATATAACTTGTTATTAAATTTTGTAATTTTAAGTATCGTAGTTAATTATTTTATACGAAAATTTATGTTATCTGATGCTTTATTGCTACTAAGTTTTAGTGTCTTACTCGACTTCTCATTTCAAAATTGAGTAAACTTTGCTACTGTAAAAATTATCTCATTGGGAACGACAACAAATTGGTGCTGCTGACAAGACTTGAGATAAATCTTTGCAATTGAGAGAGTTTATTTTCTCTTATTTTCTTTTAGTTCTTGTGGTGTAAAGTTATTACCCGTAGAGAAGTTGTTAGTGTTACGATAATAGAAATCTTATCTCTATGTATATTTGACGTCTTTTTATTCTCTCAATTGAATTAAGTAAAATCGTTTTCGTGGAACTCGATTTGAATAAAGTTTGTTGAAATGTATAATTCATGTGAATGCACTTGCGAACAGGATTTTATTCGTCACACAGATAAACACGTATGTGAACAAACGCAATAAATGTAATACAGTTTAGTTGTTAAAGGTTGTGCACCATCAAACTCATAACAAGTAAAAGTCCTCTCGGGAGGAACTCCGTTCCCTTATCAAGTTTATTTCCACTGGGTGGAGAGTAAATCTTTTCTTGAAATAAAAGCAATATTTATCTCGAATACAGAACGTCGGCATTACACCCCCAGATAAACAAACCAACCGACAAGGAAATAATAGTTTTATATAGGTCGCAAAGATAGATGCTTTTAACGTATCCGACAAATATTTCGGATGGCCTTATCGGATTAGGTCGACGGATTTATTCGACAACACCCCTCGAGGATTGATATCTCTTCTTGTCGTTTCACATGCAAATGTTTCAGGATTTTGCCCTTTTTGTAGGTAATACAAACGTGACACAAAGTTTGTTCCCACCTGACCCCCAAGCATTAGGTGGGGAATAATTTAACAAGTTTTTGAAGGACGCGTAAAATGCAATTTACATGTAGATTATAAACAAACAGGGAACAGTTTGTGGTTGTCTTTTTCTTTATAACGTGCACGAGTTTGGTGCGGTCGAAACAACTGTTTCAACATGAATATTTTAATGTGAAATGGCCGCCAAATGCATTTTGCAATAATTAAAATCGCTTGTCAAAATTATGTGTTTTAATAGAAACTAACAATTTTTGTTTGGATTTTAATTTTATGAATTAATTTTGATGAATTTTGATTACGGTTTAGTTTTTGCATTAGTAAATTATCTAGGTACAATCTAAATTGTCGTTTAGTGTTTTCGAATTACAAAACAATTAATCCAGCTGTCATTTATATTTGCCGCAACTTCATTCAAACTGATTCTAAAATTGTGTAAACGAGGGTCGAGTAAATAAATTCACTACCATTCCATAACAACCTTTATAATTTTAACACGAAAATTGTATTTAAAAAAGATCGTGTTTATAACTTTCCCACTAGTTCAATTTGAAAAAGAAACAGACATGAGTTTTCCATTTTCTTGTAGGTTTATCTTGAATCAGTTTCGATGTTCACGTATATCGAAATTGTAAGATTTTATGACTAGTTGGAACATTCTGGTTAATGCTTTATTTTATTTTCAGATTTATTTGAAAACTTGGTAAATGTATTATTACTTTTGTTATCAATTGTCTTAAAAAACTAAATTTATAATTGACCGTTTGATTAATTTTTTATACATTTTTACACATATTGCGAATACATACATTTTCTATAATAAAATTCTTTTTTCCCAGTTATTTCCACAGTACTTTAAACGATCATAACTCAGTTTTTTAAATGGCACTCCTTACATTTTATTTCACCATTTTGTTCTTCTTTACCTCATTTTCACCCTATATGGCAATAATATTTTATACTAATCTTTATCGATTTTTTACGAAAAAAGTGAATTTAAATTCTTTCAAACCTAATGGGTAGCACTTTACATAGTAATAATATCTGATCAATGTAACATAGTTAGAAAAAAAATTATGTTAACTTGTTAGTTGTTATTTATATTAAGAACAATTTTGAGGCTCTTAAAAAACGGTTAAAAAATATTGGTTCAATAATTTTTAATTGATTTTTATTTCAATTCTTCAATTTCTGAATAGTTTGGAGAGTTTTGATATTAAAAAAATAAGAGAGAATTTGCTGTTCTCCTTAAATAAATATTTTCTTTATATATTTTTTATTTTTTGAGAATATTTCTGGCCTTGGATTAATTAAACAAAAACTTTATTTTCTTACATTATAGTAGGAAGATAAACATCAGTTAAATTTTATGTTTTGTCCTGATTGCAATACAAAGTCGTTAACATTTGTGTTTTTTTGACCAGACATTTAATACACAAGGCTTTGCTACCACCGACTTTAACCATTATGAACTTGTTTATCTGCACCTCAAACTAATAAGTTCGCCAATAACCCGAGCTTTGGTCTTTCCTAACCCAATATTAATAAACTTTGACCGAACTTAATCCACATGATATCAATCATATTTTTCTCCAAAAATCAACTTTATTTAAACCAATAAACCTCGTTTTTGTCGTGATTTCTAGATACTTAATCAAATCTTATCGCCAGCTATCGTTACACGATCTAATCAATCATTTAACAAAGTTTCTTATGTCTTATATCTGGTACGAAGCCATTAAGAGCTTTCAAGAGCTTTTGTTGGTGAAACTTGATGCCTGATGAAGTATCTACAGACATGTCTGGTGCAGCTGTGATTAATTCGAAAAGAAATTCTTTACATGAACAAATGGCTAACGTTACAATTTGCGAAATTAATTAAGAAATTTAATTTAATTAGTTTTCTTCGATTTTAACTGGTAATGAGAGGCGAAAAAACGATGATGCCGTTTTAATTAACTTTGCAAAACTTTTCCCAGATTTTTATCTCGTAAAAAAACAGTAATCAAAAGAACTTTCTTGGTTATTATTTTAAGAAATTGGAGTTATTATTAAACGTTAAGTAAAATTAGTGTCGAGCTTTCACGAGTTGAGCGCAATCTTTGGCAGTGATGTACTTTATGTAATTACCCAAATTCAGGTAGAGACGTTTATAATGGAGCCTCATTTGTAGAGAGTCAAGATTCCTGTTTCATTTCCTCTACTGATTACCTCGCATATTACAAAAGTAATTCCAGTTTTTTTTATTTTAACCCAATTTTTTTTTTAATTCTAAGCATCAAGGGTAATAAACTGTTCGAGAAAACGAGACACAGATGTCGAAGTAGGTTAACAAAGTACATTTATCATGGTCTCCTTTGCGCTTTAATTCGTCTAAACGTTCGAGAAGACGAAAAACAGTCAAGCTCTAGCAAATATTATTTGAGTACTAATAGAATTTTATTTTAGAGTTTGTCGAATTGAATGGCAATAATTTCATTATTAAGTCGATTATTTTGACGCGGAAATAACTGCAAATGTAATTAAAACTCTCATCGCAAAATTTAATCTTGAGCTGATGGCAACATTCGATATATGAGAAAAGTTGGTTGCGAGAAAAAGTTTCATCTAGGGAATTAGGACCGAAAAACATTGTTGTTTAGTTTAGCGCCTATAATAGCCCACTGACAAAATTTATCGCTCCACGAGACGAAAAAATTTCATTTTCTTAAAATTTTCCTAATTACATGAAATCTTTTTTTTCTCTGGCAGGGTTTTAGAGAACTCGCAAGAGTCTATTAGTGAGATTGAGGAAGATTCATTTATTTTTATTATTAAAAAAGGTTTTTGTCTGGTTTCACCGATCAGGAATGTTTTAATACCAACTTTTTCTTTTATTCGGTTGAAATCACGAGGGATTACTAGAGACATAAGAATTCTTGATTCTTTTAGTGGAGTGGGAGTTTCCCTGCTTGTTGCAGAATTATTTTCGATGATTCCGAATTTAAAAAGCTCTAAAACTCGAGCCGTTGCTTCGATGAGCACTCACGTAAACATGAGGCAGGTGTAAATCTTCTCGACCACTCCATGTAAATTATTCGTGCGAAAAGTTTACGTTAAGCGGTTCTCGACATTTACATAATTTTCGCGGAAAACTTTTCCGACTTGAATCGGCCGAATTCAGTCATTTATTTCTTCAAAACAAACCTTCCATAACCGGCTGTAAATTTACTCAACTTTTACACTTCCACTCTTGCAGATTTGGAAAATTCATAGGCATGCCAAAGTCGGTTAATTTCACCAAATAGATTGGTGTCTTGTAATATAGAATTTTTATTCTAATAAGAAGAGATATCTCGACGCAGATGTAATTTATCATCGTCTGCTTCGGGGAAAAAAACGTGAGTTTACGCCTACTTTTTGTCCGTAAAAAATTATTGCACATATTAATTTCGAATTTACTATGCTGGAGATGACATAATGTAAATTGCATTGTGCATTGATAATGAGCAAAAAGCTCTTCTTTGATTTGGGTTAGTTGTGTGTTATATTATTAATTTTTGTGTTTCAACGATTGTAAATTTTACTATAAATTGCTTTTTTTGAAATGACCAACCATAATTTTGTATGAGTAGAAACTAAGTCAATGTTTCGTTGAGCTTGTTAATGGGAAAATTTCGTTGACTGTAAAGTTTCAGTTGAAGTCTTTGGGTACTTGTTTTAAGTGGAGTTGTAAGGATTTATTTTTAGGGTTTATGTCGAATACATTAAAGTCAGAGATAGTGCAAAGGACGATACTGTTAATTACTCGATATTGTTTTGTACGTGGGATAATAAGGGTGATATCATTGCTTCACGTATGAGAACGGAAAGGATAAAAGGATAATAGATGAGAAATTACAAACATTTATTTAATGGTTTTTGTTTTAAACGGAAATGTGTGATAATCTCACGGGAGAATGTTTTTACTAAAATTTACTTAAAATTAAGTGATATATATATCACTTGAAGAAAAAAACTTTTAGTTTAGGGTGTTTTAACTTTAAGACATGGTAAAAGTTGCTTAAATATCATTTTAAATTTTGATGGTCATCAAGCTACGACTATAATATGTGAAAAAAAAATCTTTTTGTTTATTGTAAAAATTTATCTGTGATCACCAATTTAGAAATAAAAAAGAGCAACGGAGAAGAATTTTTTTGTTGAATTTTAATGTAAACTGTTTTTCCTGATTAACATGTATTTTTGTGTTATTTTTGAATTACTCATTTACAACAATACTGATTTTCTTTGATTATAGTAACGAATAAAATGGTGGATGCGATTTACCGAAAGTAATTTTAAAATAATAAACAATTTCAGAGACAATAAAGTTACATTGTTTTTAGTTGTTTTTTTTTTTTTTGAATAATATTAGATTATCCAACTTTCGATCAATAGATGTAACCAAAACAAAGCACTAAACGCCAGAAATACTTTTGAATACAAAACCGAATTTTAAGTAGTTCTCGTTCTATATTTAGCCACCCCTGCAAGCTTGTTTTTCTAACTTTCTTAGATAACCAAAAGAGTATAACTTGTTTACGTTCCTAGACTAGAATTATTGAGTTAAAGATGTCTCGCGAAATTTTTTCTCATAATTTATTATGAAGATTATTAGAATGCGAGATGAATTTATTCATGAACTTATTAAATTATTTAAAGTAGCCAGTTTACTCAGCACACAATTTTGGAAGTTTTCACACGTAATTCTCGACAAACTTCTCAAATCTTTTTCAAATCAACAATTTTTTCGTAATTTATTGCTTTTGCAGGCAGATTTGTTTTAGAGTGATGGATAAATAATGTTTTTATTTTGTTATGAAATCATGGGGTTTGTGGTTTTCCTCATCCAATATTGGATTTGAGGAGATACTCACCAGCCGCCATTTTGTTCGTTTGTTCTTCTTGGCCTTATGACATTTCCTCTGGTCCATAAGTTAACAGCATGATTGATGGTTTTTCCGTTTATGTGTACACTTATTAACAGTCCACAAACACTTTATCTTATTGAATTAATCGAATTAAAAGTCACCTGTAATAAGTTGTTGTCTTCTAGTATCGTGTATCAAAACAGTAATATTGTAAAAGTTTTCGATATAATTCTGAAATTGCATTTTATGTGGGATTGTGTTTTATTGGGATTAGATTCAAAGATTGGATTCGAGCGCTACATCGGTCAGCAGTTCCATTTGATTAAGTTTGTAGTTATTGTGTCTCTTTAAGTATATGTAAATGTCGAAAGTAGGGATTATTGGAGAGGCGTATCAAAGTTACGTGCCCTACCGGTTGTTAGTGCTAATCAAGGTGTTTAATTACGTACAAAGTTCTCTCTCGTCTCGCTCACCCTTCACAGATTTGGAAGACAGTCGGAATGTGGCGCGAGAATTATCAGTGTTGTTTTAAGTCACATCTTGTGAGTTTTGCAAAATTTATACATCGGTCGAAAATGAAAGTGTCTAAATTATTTATGGGAAGGTAGACATATGAAATATGAGGCGGTTTAGTTGAAGACTAAACTTTTGTACGCTGCTGTTTATATACATAATTTTATAACCTAAACATTCCACAATGATACGACCCTTGTTCCGAATCAGAATTCGATACAAAAAGGGTTAGGTCACTGATTTCAAATAGATTCATTTGAATTTTGATTTATATTATTTCAAATTTTTTCATTTTCTTGGATCAATGCTGACGCATGGAGCAACCGTGTGACTTTTTATGACGGCTATTGATCTATTTTTCTAGGGGGATTCTTTCGCTGATTCGGTCTCTTTGAAATCACATAAACAAACTTAATGTAGGCTTTTTAGTGGCACTACTAAACTTCTGGAATTTTCACAGAATTTTTATAAAACAAAACTAAGGGATTTGCTGGTTTTTTATTGTTTTTTTTTATTTGTTTACAGAAGTTATTTTTTGTTGATTCTGAGAATTTAACTTTGTTTCAACGGATCAAACAGCATTGTATTAAACTCATAATTAATATGCTTTTATTGTGTTAATGAATTGACTTTGGAAAAAAGAGTAATAAATGATGAACTGCAAATTAAGTAATTTGGAAGATAATTTTTCGATGAGATTTGGAAGCTAACGTTATGAGAAATAATAGCTAATGACAAAAATTGTTCAGATTCTCTGTGTACAAAATTGCATATATTTTGCGATTTTTTATTTTCATATAAATTTTCTTACTTAATTACATTTCTGCAGTTCTATTTTGCTCCAAATTCAATTTCTACTGTTTTAGCAATTTTACAGCAATTTTGTTTGTATAATGTTCAAAAAATTGATGAATTTGTATTTATAAACCATTTTTGTATAGTTATTTGCGCTTTACTTTGAATTAATGAAGATAATGCAATTTTTATTATTTCTGGTGTCAAAAGAACACTTTTACATATATAATTTGTTTCATTCTTGTTTTTGAAATGTTAATTTTGAAATGTCACAGGTGTGTGTTTATAAAACAACAGACAACGCTTAATTCTCGGTACGTAATTAATGACAAGTGAATAAATTACCCTTTAAATTAAACTTATCATACGTCTGAACTTCATTTATCATCGTGTTTATATGAAAATCTGTGACTGACTGAATCTTCAAAGCACTTAAAGCTAATTTAGCAATGACAGTTTTCTTAAAGTCACTTCAATCAAAAAGATTAAAGATCAATTTCGAAAGTTTTGAATTACTTATTAACTTTATTTATTTTCTTTAATTCTGTTTGATACTTAATAAGAAATATTGTGAGAAAATGTAAATTATTTGACTTTGGAAAAATGAGACAATCATTAAGGAAAAGAATGAAGAAAAATCGTCTCACTGCTGCATTTGCTAACAAATATCCTAGAATGTTATTTCAGCTCGAGTGTTTCGTAAATGCAAATTTTGACAATGCATATCAGCAGATTCAACAATCATTTTAAATCGTAAATCTCTCTTGACTGGACGATTACAGTTATATCAAGGGATTGGATGTTGTTTGTTAAAAGACGATTTATTGACCGGATTATAATTTAACGTGGAATGTAAACGAACGTCCGAATTGGCGAACTTACGCAGCAACACAATAATCAAATACATTGTTTTTTTGGGACAAAATTCTACCGAAACCTTTGATTTCTTGTTCGTCATGAACAAAAAATGATGTCACATGATTTTAAATGAAAACACGTAAGAACGAAATGTTACATAGACCCAGGAGATTTGTTTTTTCATCGGAGACTCACTTTTTGAATCTTAAGAGAAGTTTTGCTACCTACTTGCACATTATGACTAAACACAAAACTGAAATAAAAATAATTTATTTGTTCCTTTAGGAGGGCAAAAAGCGTCTCTTTGCAAGGATTTGGATTAGTGCCAGAAACATTTCAAAATTCACAGTTTAACACAATCGATAACTGTACCACCAGCAAAAAGAAAATCGAAGCAGGTACGTCATCAGCTCTAATGGTCTTAAATAGTGTCAAGGAAGCTTCTCTGATAAGTTTTTCTTTAACTTAATCAAGTCGAGCGACTTGACCCAAATTTAAGTAAATGAAGCCCAAACTCGAGTCTAGCTTTCAATTTTTGCCGAAAATTTTAGTGTAATGATGCTGAACGCTCACCTCATTATTATACACTCAACACACTAACAATATATTACAATAAAATTTTAATTCAAAATTTTTTTCTGTAACTTAGTTCGCTTCAATAATCCCACCATTCCAACTTACAAGCCTCAGAAATCGTCGAGAGCTTAACGCATTAATTAATTTAGTAAACTCTGAAACCCAAATAATAATAATTTTAAGTTAGTAAAAATGAAGAGACGACGCACTCGGTTTTACTCGGGTGAATTTCACCCGTACCAATTCCGGGATTAATTAACGACACTTTACCGGAAGTTTTAAAATTCCGTGCGTCTAGCTAACTCCGGGCCGCTCTTCCGCATGTATTTGTGACGGAGATCGCGAGGATACTGCAGGGATGCTGTAACGTGTGCCACCCCATCGCTCTCGTGATATCCCAGGGGTGGATGCCGAGGTCTGCTCACGGAGGGTTATGCTCTTTAATTGGTCGGAATTTCGACGTTGAAGATTTTTTAAGATTCATTGTGTGGAAAGGTGATTATTTTTAAAAAAGGGAATTAAAAGTGGAAGAGTTGAGTTTTAATTCGGAATTTTTTTGGAGTAATTTATTATTAAATGTTTATTAATTGCTGTTAAAATACGAGTCTTGACTCTGTTTTAATTAAATATGTAAATTTTTTGATTCGTTTTGATACCCTTAAGAAAACGAAGTGGGGGATATAATAATTTTAAATACAATAACTTGTTTTCAAATTTAATTTTTCTTGTTTTTTTGAACAAATACAATATTGTGCAGATTGCGATCAGGAACGCTGAAAGTGTCTACACTATTAGTGTTAACGTTCTGAAACGTTAAGTGCTAAAAAGGTTTATTAGTTGCGGTCATTTACTCCCAAATGTATCGTGCGGAGCAAAATCGAACGTTGCTGATGCCAAAAAACTGTTTTTTTTTATGAATTTGCTATAGTGTGGACATTTTTATTATTTATTTTAGATCAAATTTAATGGAATTATTTCTAGAGAAAAATATAATATGGAGGAATTTAAAAAAAATTAAAACTTTTATTATTTATGAC